TGCTGCAGTTGCGCCGCAGGCTGCAATTGTCTGCTTAAAAGCGTTCATTCTGTCCACAATGAAGCCACATAACTTGGCCGCAGTTACTGCCAGCCCAGCCACTCAGACAGCCAGACAGCCGAACAGCCAAACAGCCAAACAGCCGGAGCTGCCCCCACAGTCTCCTCTCCCAAATTGCGCCCATGGCTTCGATGTGATGATTTATTGCGGCTGCGCCTGCAGCGACCTCCATCCTTTGCTCACCGATGTCTAATGTCCAGAATCACAGTACGGTAGCCGCTGTTCACTTGGATGCGTTGCCGTCTTCCAGTTTTGCTGCTGCGGCTGCTGCTGCTGCTGTTGTTGCTCTCTCCATGAATTGAAACTTTATTTAATAAGTTGATGTTATTTGTTAACCGCACTAAAGGTGCGCTGCTGAATTATATTGCTCCTGGCACAGCCACACTGCGTGGCTCATCTAATGCACTCATGGGCTGGCAGTAACATGGCCCACTGCCTGGCTATAAATTACACCAGCAAGTTGTGCTGAGGCGTGGGTACAGCGATTTACTGCATTAAATTGCAGTTTAAGCAGATTCCGAAATGCTCCAGAGCTTCCAATATGCTGTGCAATGCAGCTCAAAGCGATTACCATATTGGGCTGCTAAAATACATTCACATAAACACAAATCTAAAGCGCCCCAAAACTGCGATGCCTGGTTGTAATGATGTCTGAGGCACAGCAAGGAATTGTTCTAGACAGAGCTATGCCAGAGAGTTATAAAGCAAGAAATAAATTGTTTCCTTGATGAAAATGGCATCAAATACAATAATGAAATTAGCATTGACTACAATAGACCTTTCTGGTGTCTCTGTGTATGTAATCTATACTTATTATTTATTGTATTATTATTATTATTTTTTATTATTTTTTGTATTATACTTTTTATATTTATTATTCATTATTTTATAGCGTTTACCAGTAATGATATTTCTTTTCCTCGCAGCGAAATAAGTTGAGTTTCAGGAATCGTAAAAATATAAGAATCAATAAATAATAACAAGTCAGCAACAATGCAATTATATTCATTAAAAAAACAATATATATTATGTGTCCAAAATTACAAAGAAAAAAAGAAATATTTTTCTTCATTTCTTTTTTAACATGGAATAAAACACGCGTAAAAACTTTAAATGAGTTCCGCAATCACAGTTTTCTTATTGATCCTGAAAGTATTTGAAAGAGTTAAAACACATACATATGTATGTACATATGCTCATCAAGCATAATATAGTATTCTACTGTTGAAATAATTCTTCGGTCGAATTGTTTTTGAATATTCAAAACAAAGAAAATATCAAAGCTTTCCCTCTTTATTTAATGGTTTAATATTTGGACTGTATGAAATAAAATATTATTATATAACGTTATTTTAAATTATCGACTGTAATCAAATGATAGAAGCAAATACTGCTAGATGGCCACAAAAACATAAAAGACAACATAAACTCTACCTCTTTGAAAGTTTAATTGTGATTGTGTGATTCTTTACGCTGTTTAGAGGCTAACGGGGTGCGCAGTCTAAGCTCTTCATAACTCACCATAATGGAGTGCTTAGCTAGTCCTTTGACCCAATTGTAATGGGATCGAAGTGCGGTCCGCATCACGCCGTAAAATGTGACTCTTTTAATGCTCTGCTCAGTGAATCGTATTAGAAAGTAGACGAAGACATGGGCGCTTTAATCTGAGCCGCTGCATCTGGACAAACACTTTCTGACAAATTGCTGATAAATAAACCTCAAATGCGAGAGATTTGCAATAATGCCTTTCTAATTTCATGCGTCGCCGTTTTTGCCGCCATAGAAGGCTCCTTCTGGCGGGCATGCAAAGCGCAGGAAAGCGAAAAAAACGAGGAGAAAAAATCGCGAAAAGCACTGCGATTGGTGCCTGCTGGCATGGCATGGCGCCTCTGCAGGCAGCGCAGTTTTCAGCATTTTCCACACGTAATGCGAAAGTTTGAATCATTTGTCCACTGTGCACAGTGCGGCAACGGGCCGTTTTCATTTAAAATTCTTGTCACAGACATGTAATTGCAACGCGCCATCGACTGCGGCCTACCGACTCCCGACTCCCGACTACCAGCTCCCGAGTGCTGCCAAACGGATCTATATTGCAGTTGGCCTGGCCTATTGACAATGCGTTTGTCAGTAGCAGAAACAAACGGCGGCAGCACCAGCAGCAGCAGCAGCAGCAGCAGCAGCATCACTGGGCTGCTTGTTGCCTCTGGCGCTGTGTTGACACAGATAAGTGCGTGGCGGTGGCGTCGGCAGCGATAAGTAGCGTTTATGCATTAATTTTTGCCTCAAAGTGGCATTATTTATTACGCATTAATGCGCTGAATTAACGTTTATTTAATTAATATTAATGCTGGCGCAGCAGTTGTTGCCTGCTTGCTGTGGCAGCAGTTGCTGCAACACAGTTGTCAGTTAACAGCAATTGTTGCTGCTGTTGCTGCTACTACTTAGGCTGACATTTTGTCTATGCATTTTGGGCAGCCAGGCAATTAAAGGTACCGCTAACAGACATTGCCTGTCCAGGCAGTCATTCAGTCATTCAGTCAGCCAGTCAGCCAGTCAGTCAGTCAGCAATTGTCAGTTGTTGCTAGACAACATGTAGCTGACATACCTCACAGCCATGTTGCTGGGCTGGGGCTGCAAATTTGGCGCAGCGCAATGCACTATTGGGTGGCGTCGTCCACATCCTCTGTATGTCGGCTCCTACAACTGGCCTCAAGTTCCCTGCTCAACTTTTGGCATTCGGCGGCATTGTGAGGCCCCAGCAACAGCAACGTAGTTGCTGTCTTTGTCGCTGTTGCTGCGCAGAGGTCAAGGCCTTGGGGGCAGCCAAATTAAGAGTCGACTTCTGTTTATCCTACAGTCAACAAGCGAGTGCCGCTGACCGTCAAATTGTGCAAATGTTTGTACAGAAATCGAAAGTGAAGTCGTCAGGCAAATAAATATGTAACCAATAAGTCACCGATTTTTGAAGGAATTTTCGATAAAGCAATATTTGTATTAAGTCGGGCGATAGATAACGGGCTGCTTCGATGTTTGTAATCCATCAGTGTCGGGGGCGGTTGGCAGTCGGCGGTGGACGGTCGACGGTCGACGGTCGGCGATCGTGGTCAATAGTCGGGCGCAATAAACTTTATAATTTATAGACCAATCAGACGCAGATCGCACGCACTAAAACAAGTGAAAAATCATAGTCCAAACACATAATGCATCAGTGGAGATCAGAGAGCCAGGCAATTTATAGGATGGCCATGCCAATAGACACCGCACAGCGGGTTGTCAAATCGTAGAGCGACTCCAACATGGTACAGGAACTGGCTGGATAACTGCTTAGAATGGTATGGGATGGGATGGGAAGCCCGCGCGCCGGCTATCCCAGCCAATTGATTTATACAAACGGCAAAGCAACGGAACACAAATTGGATTGCTGGAGCCGAGGCAGGGGCTGCGTTGGGTTCGGGTTGGGTTGGGGGTCCTCGAAATGATTTGTTGCACTTTGTTGCAATCGTCGCATACGCAGAACTTTTGCACACAACAGTTGCGCTGTTTAACCTTTTGAACTGGCCACATGGGTGGAGTTGCACGTGTGGCAGCCAGATTTCAATGGAAATCGTTAGCTGAAGATCAGCAACAGCTGCCACTTGTCCGCCTGTCCGACTGGCTGAATCGCCTTTACTTTGCATGCGTCGAGCGTAGCTAATTAGAGCCATAAATGCTGCACACTCACACACACTTGCATAGCTCAATCCCCCAATGTGAGCCATGCTGAAGTTGTTTAAAGCCCCGCGGATTGAACGGAAAGTGATATGCAGGCGTTGGCAAAAAATTGTTTGGCTGTCCAACAAAAACAATAACAACGACAACGACAACGACAACAGCAACAACAACAATAATAAGCAAGAGCTGGAGCTAGAGCAACAACTACAAACAGATGTCGCCTGTCGCCCGTTTGACCATTTAGGTTATGTTGGAATCCAACACCAGTTTATCAAGCGACGACCCAAACAATAAATTACGCAATTCAAACGCTCAACTGCAGTCCATCAATGGCATAATGAGGCAAGCGGCGGGCCGCCCCAGCAGCAACAGCAGCAGCAGCAGCCACAGACGCAGCGGTCCCAGCGCAGATGCATTACCATATCGGCATAAATTCCGGAGCATCGTTAAGTGGGCCTGAAGACGACTGCCAGATAAACAGGCTGAGCTGCAGCCACTGCTGCTGAGTAGCTGTAGTTGCAAGCAGGTTGCCTGCCGCATGCCGCATGCAGCATGCCACATGCCACAAGCCACCGTCCGTCTGGCTACCCAGTGTGCCACCTAATGACGGAATGAGCGCCGATGCCAATACCAATGCCGACGTCGCCATCGATAATGGCAGCCCATATAACCATTGGAGCCATTCGATTGTATGAGCTAACTCGCACTTGACCTATCAACTCCCAATTCTCTTTCAATATCAAACGAGCTGCACAGATATTTGGGTTTCCATACACCGAACCCATTGAAAAGGCGAAATCATGGTATAATGATTATGTAGCATCTAGAAGGGGTCCCCATATATACATGGGGTAATGTAATGTAATGGTTTTGTGAAAAGTATGTAATAGGCAGAAAGAATCATCGCAGTCCTCATACAACATGAACATTTTTGGTCAGGGCAATATTAAAATGTCACAATACTACTATGAAATAGCTTTCCGAAGTTTCTTAACTGCTTGCTGTACAATCGTACGATCATAACTTTGTCACTAATCATACGATTGTGCGGACGATTATACGGCAAGGCAACGAACGTACGGGAACACAAATATATTTTTTTTATTGGTAATTAAGTTCCATTAATTATTTAACATTTACTTTTTATTACGACTATTACATAGTCGGGCAACCCTTATGTCTATATTGCCTAAATTACAAATAATGAAAAGAGAAAAATGTTAGCTTGGTATTATTTCTTATTAAAATAAGATTAACAAATTACTAAAGTCACAGGTAAAAGTCTCGAAGCAATCGAGATTTGCCAGAGGCAGTTACATCATCAACAATTGGATAATCCAGAGTAGCTGCGTCTTGTGCTGCATTTATTTCCTCGGGAGTTTTGATCTCCGTGCTACTGCCAGCTTTAATCTCATGAGCTTTATCACTATACTCGCGGATCATTTCTATGACAGCCGAATAAGTTCCGTATCCGAGAATAACTAGACCAAGTAAAAGCATCAATAAGTCTCTAACCAGTTTCCATCTGCCAGGGCCGTATGAAGAGCGATACAAGAGGCAGATCTCAATCCAACACGGAAAAATGATATTCAGTAGCGATATGGAAAATGCTCCAACCAAAGCTAAGAGTGGACCCAAATTGGGGAAAGCGATTGCATTAGCTGTGCACACAATCACGAAGCAAATGCGAAATATGTATTCAATCCTATGCGGGTTCTTGGGATTGTGGTTTTTTGCAATATATTGATTGCACACGATATCGACAACAACGTATCCACTCAASGGAAACGAGAAGAACACGGATATCGCAATGAACATTTTGGCAACCTGCGCTAGCCTATTGGCATAAGTGTGTATAGATGCGTACATATATTAAAGCACAACTGCAATTTTCGAAGAATACTTACGCTTCTTCAATGGGTATATTTAAGGTAATACTAGCCGCCACATAATCTCCATATCTCCAATAGCCCATGAATCCAATTAAAATATACGTGACGGCCACAAACAGAGCACAACGGTTCAGAACACCAAGCCAGCCCACATAAGACCCTGGCGTGGCCATTTTTGCTTCAATGGCAAGCATCTGCGAAAAAGGAAAGTGTTTTAAGGCAAAGTCCAAATATGATATATATTCATCTAACATTGACTTACCACACCCACGGACGAAGTGCCAAACATTATGATGCCCACAAACAAAGACAGTTGGGAATTGAATTGCCTAATCTCATCAATAGGGGGTAAATTTGTAAACAAATAGTAAAAGATACATGCGAGACCAGTGTACATCAAAAGAGTAGCTAATATATTCGTGGGCACCAAATACTTCAGATGCCGCAATGAAAATAGTGGTAATGATAGTGTCCCTACTATGAAACAATAAATCCTGGTATTTATACGTTCGTGGTAATTATAATCAACAACTTGCTTCACATTTATGCTGACAAACACGATATAAACCACGCACACACCATAGTGGAAGAATATCAGAATACCATTCACGAAATGTCCAGCACACTTTGAGAGACATTGGCAGAACTTCGGCCCTACACTAATTGCATATGTCATTGTCTCTGGAAAGTTCATATAACCGACCATATTCTGTCGACTAGACTCTACCATACAACGTACCTAAGGATGAGCGATATTTAACACGATCCATCCACTAATATTCCTCTCACCAGTAGTTGCAGGCCAAAAATTAATACGGCTGTCATAAATATCGTCATAAGGATGCCTCCTATATAGCCTACACGGTAGAAGGCGAGCGGCAGGGCCAAGCAGCCGGATCCGACCACACACTTCACCAGCGAAAATAGAGCATCGCAATTGCTGCGAAGAAGAGCTCAATAGCCTGCAGTGGATTTATCATTGCGGATCTGACTTACGATAATGGTTTTTCCACATCACGGGCATCATATGGATGAAACTTCTTTTCTCCGGGTTTGTTGACACTGCATAGAGACAGATTATTATTAACCATAAGAAAGAATTTGACCAATTAAAATAATAGTCACATACTCTGCCATTTAAACCTTTTGCCAGATCTATGGCTTCGCTGATCCAAGGATTATACTATAAATTTAAAACTATTATTCATTAATATAAAAATGAAAAAAAAAAACATAAAAATAAAATAAATAAATAAACAAATTTTGTAAATTAGAAAAATTAAAACGGAAGATTTTGAAACTATATATAGGTATAAAAAAAAGTGAGTGATGTAAAACAAAGAAAAGTCATAAAAACGAATGTCAAAAATGATAAGTATCTGCCGCCCTACTAAGATTATATTATTGAGAAATAAATAATCCCTGAAAATGCAGGTAAACCAAGAAAATGAGGGCAAAGAGCCCAAACCACCCTGGTCCATCCCATTAAGGATAAATCCATTAAATACTAACTCAATTTACTACAATATGTTAACGTATATTGGTACAAATTGAAATTTTAAGCCTTCATTCTTTTCCTTGTTGGATGCTGCTTAGCCCATAGTGCCAGCAATGTCCCCGCACACACCTAAAATGATGAAAAGCAAAGATCGCCAAAGTCCAATCTTTCGAGAGTCCATATCCTTTACAATGGTGAGGCATATATTCTGGATAAACAAAGACACTCGACTGTCACAAACGAGAGGATGTTGCCCAATCTGGTTATGCAAGCTCCATTCGAAATAACCAAATGCATGAGACACGCCTACAAATCCTTATGGATAGACCTTTTCGATGATATACTGGATAAGTAGTACAAGTTGCTTACATCAGTTGTGGATTCTTGTAGGGCACGAAGCTGAAATATAAAAGCCAAAACTGAGCTGGTTAACTGTGAACTATATAAAAATATCATAATTCATGGAGTGACTCATCTATACTTACCCTAAGTTTGCGTAAAGGAAATGGAAGGAGGTCGGGGTATATCTAGTATTTTTTCTGCTTCCTCGTCGAAATTTGAAATCAAACGACGACGGTAACACCTCATAATATAAATAAAATAGAGATTTATGCACTGATTTTTCTTTGAAGAGACTATTTATGTGGGTTTCTGGATTTCTGTACGTTGTCAGGATCAACTTTGTTGCAATCTACAATCAAAAGTAAAATTTCTGTGCGGGAGTTATATCATCAATAATTGGATCATTTATGGTAGCTGCATTTAGTTCATCTTCTATATCTTCGGCTCCCTTGGTTTTGTTGCTATTATCAGCACCAGCGTCAGCATTATTACTACCGCCATACTCGCGGATCATATCCATGATAGCCGAATAAGTTCCGTATCCAAGAATAGCCAACCCTATTATAATTATTATTATATCTTTAACCAGTTTCCATTTTCCAGGGCCATACGATGAGCCATACAAGAGGCAGATCTCAATCCAACACGGAAAAATGATATTCAGTAGCGATATGGAAAATGCTCCAACCAAAGCTAAGAGTGGACCCAAATTGGGGAAAGCGATTGCATTAGCTGTGCACACAATCACGAAGCAAGCGCGAAATATGTATTCWATCATATGCGGRTTCTTGGGATTGTGGTTTTTTGCAATATATTGATTGCAYACGATATCGACAACAACGTATCCACTCAACGGAAACGTGAAGAACACGGATATCGCAATGAACAGTTTGATAACCTGCGCCAGCCTGTTGGCATTAGTGTGCATAAATACGAGCATATATTAGAGCCTTTGTGAAGAATACTTACGCTTCACTAGTGGGCATATTTAAAGTCACACTAGCCGCCACAATACTACCATAGCGCCAATACCCCATGAATCCAAATATTATATATGTTAGAGCCACAAACACTGCTCCGCGATTCAGAACACCGAACCAGCCCAGATAATCCCGTGGTTTGGCCATTTTCGATTCGATGGCAAGCATCTGCGAGAAAGGCCAGTTAATTTCAAATATAATGGCTATGAATATGACATTGACTTACCACGCCCACGGACGAAGTGGCAAACAGCAGGATGCCAAAAAACAATGGAAGCTGATAATTAAAAAGCTCGACATCTTTAATGGGAGGTAAATTTGTAAAAAAATAGTAAAAGATACATCCAAAACCAGTGTACATCAAAATATTGGCAATTATATTTGTGGGCACCAAATACTTCAGGTGCCGCAGTAGAAATAGTGGCAATGATAACATTCCTACTATGAAACAATAAAGCCGGACATCCAATTCCTTGCAGTTATGATCAATAACTTGCTTCACATTTACGCTTACAAACACGATATAAACTACGCACACACCGTAGTGGGAGAATATCAGAATAGCATTTACTAAATGCCCAGAGCACTTCGAGGCCCAATGGCAGCACTTCGGCCCTACAGAAATTGCATATGACATTGTCTCTGGAAAGGTCATATAGCCGACCATGTTCCGTCGACTAGACTCTACCATACAACGAATCTAAGGATGGGGGATATTTAGCATGATCCTTTCACAAATATGCCGCTTACCAGTAGTTGCAATCCATAAATTAAAAGGGCTGTGACAACGATCGTCAGAATGATGCCGCCCACATAGCCAACATAGAAGAAGGCGAGGGGCAGGGCCAAGCAACCGGTTCCGACCACACACTTCAGCAGCGATAATAACGCATCGCAATTGCTGTGGAAGAGCTCAGTGACCTGCAGTAGGTTGATATATGTGGATCAGACTTACGATAAGGGTTTTTCCACTTCACGGGCCTCATATGGATCAAACACCTTTTCATTGGATCTGTTGATAGTTAATAGAAACTGATTATTATAGATGCTCAGAATAATCTTACAGACAATCACATACTTTTCTGCCATCTCGAACTATCTCTATCTGTGATTTACACTGCAGAATTTTTCACTATATCAATTTTAATTAGACTCAACAATGGTAAGTTATTAAAGAAAAGGTTCAAAAAAGAAATTAGAAAAATCCTAAAAAACGATAATCTAATTCTGAAATGTATCTGTCGACATACTAAGGTTCTGATATGTTGAAAATAAATAATAGTCGAACTAAATTTATATCTATATATGTGCAGGTAAACCCAAGTCGATACTACTTTTATCCAGTATTAGTACTTTGAGGGTAATGATTGATTTTATTACACAAAAATAATTCAAATGATTAGAATATGTTAGCTTATATCAATGAATATTTTAATTTAATGCGGTTGAAAATAACTAAAAAAATATAAAATGCGATTGTCATATTTTTGCTTGATGGCTGCTACTGAGGCCATAGTGCCAGCAATGCCTCCGAAAAAGCCCAATGCGATGAAAAGCAAAGAGCGCCAGAACATAATTTTCAAGGGTCCATATCCGTCACTATAGCAGACGCATATATTGATAATGCCTGGATAAATCAGGCTCAGCTGGGACAGGCAGAAGGAGCCGACAAGCGAGAGGAGCAGACCGAAGTCTGGATAGGCAATGGCGCACAGAACTGATGCCACCACCATGGCCATGCGCATCAGATACTCTACCCACAGTGTGGCGCTATCCATTGGCCTGGGTGTCATGTAGCTGTGCCAGATAATCTCAATGGTCACGTAGCCCTGCAGGGCATAGCTACAAAATATGGCCATAACAAATAGGGCAGTGGCGCACTTGGATAGGCTGTTGAAGACTTAATTAATGGAGGTGTTGGGAAGTGAAAGATTTCGAGTATTAGCATACGTTTCGTCCGGTAGATTTTTGAGAATGTATGTCGCAGTATCATCTCCGTACTTCCAATAGCCCAAGAAACCGAAGGCAGTGTAGAACGCAATTGAGATAAACATGGCCCGATTCAGTACGCCACACGTGCCCATAAAATTTTCTGGCTGTCGCATATTTACTTGCAGTTGGAGTGTCTAATAAGAAGTAAGAAGAAGGGTCGACAATAAGGCAGACAGGTGCTAGAATACAACTCACCACGCCTATCGCATTAACCGAAAACATAATGGTGCCAAAGAATGACGGCAATTGGGATAAACTTTGCACGGGTCGTCGCTCCTCCAAATCGGGCAAATCGACTAATAAATAGGTAACAACAATTCCAACACCTGCAAGGTAGTCCACATTTAAGTCATTCTACTAGATCTGATACCTGATACCTACCAACAATCATAAAGAGGTTTGAGATGACGGCCAGTGGCACCAGATACTTGAGGTTGCGTATGAGGAAGGTTAGGATTAGAGGCAGCGTCATGAGGGCAATATAAATGCGCGTGTCGATGGGCGGCAGATAATCGTCGCCCAACTCCTTGAGATTCTTGCCAATAAACACGACGTACACCACATCCACGCCAAAGTGATAAATGCACAGAAATGCATCCACCTGTCGGCTATGAATCACATATATTGATCATCCATGTTGATCTTGGGGGACACAAACTCACGCAAAGTACTTGCTCAGAGGCCGGATCCAATAGGGTCCATTCAAGATAGCCAAATGCATGGCCTCGCTGTAGCTGAGCATTGTCATTTTATAGCGCTTGCGAGTCAGGTTGATGTCGTTGAGCTGGATGGGGCAGGATGGTGTAAGAGCTATAAGATCATGCATATATTCAAACACTACCAACACATGCATAGCATACAACAGAAGGGAGGAGATTAGAATTGAGCCTGCCAGGCCCAGCAGCCAGCCAGTGTTACAGTAGGCTCTGGGCAGAGCCAAAACACCCGTGCCAAGAGTACATTTGATCAAATTAACAAACGCCTCCGAGTCCCTATGGATAGATGGTATTTTAGATGATATGCTGGACAAGTAATACAAGTTTCTTACGTCAGTTGGTACTTCATTTCGGGAAGAAATTGAGGATTTCTGTAGGAGACGAAGCTGAAGCATAAAAGACAAAACTGAGCTGTTTAACTGTGAACTGTATACAATACCACAATCCATGGAGTGACTCATCCTTACTTACCCTAAGTTCACGTTCAGGAAATGGAAGAGTCTCGGGGCAAATCCAGTATATCTTCCCACCTCACCGTTGACTTGCGAAATCAAACGCCGACGGCCTGGTGAATTCTTCGGTAACATTTTAACATTTAAATAGAATAGGGTTTTAAACACTGATCTCTTCGAAATACTTTATAGATGGAGACTATATTCAGGGCCAACTGTGTTGCCAATTATGTAAATAGCTAAGCGAAAAGAAGGCAAAGACATGCGCTTATTGTGGAAGGCCGCACAGTTCGCATACCCTTTCTAAAATTTTTAAATGCATAATGCCATATACAGAGCAGATATACAAAGAAGACTAGATGAAAGTGGAAAACAAATATTTTTATATACTTGTATATTTATTGAAATATATTCGAGCTCAGTTAAGCCACTGATCGGTTGGATAGTGTTTTCATATTTTTATAGGGTATTCTGTGTTCAATGCAGTCAAGGCAGTTTCCCTTTGAGTTTAATACTTAAATATTAGCATGGCCCAGAGCAGGGATTAATTCCAGGAAATTAAGCACACCAGCAAGAGGTAGCGAAACCGAGTTTGCTGTGTGGGCGTTTGTAGCCTGGCAAAGTGATCTGGCCATAAAAACAGGCCAAGAGCTCGGACTGGCAGGACTTAGGAATTTGTTCGCCGTATGGTGGCTGCTTTTGCTACCTAAATTATGCAGCAGCCGCTGGCTATCGAAGCGGCAAGCCGGCCAGGCGGCGATGATCCAACTGGAGCTGCAGCCACGCCTTGTTCCGTTCGCCAAGCTCTAGGCGGGCTGAAAGACAAACTAATTAGTGTGGCCAGCTCTGTCATTTTGCACGCATTTCTCAAATGCCTAGTGATGATGGCACTGTCCATAAATTGGCCAAGCGACTGCATCACCGCACCACTGCACCACCGCACAGCACCACATCGTTTAAGGCGACTCGAAGAAAGTACAGTTTCTAGTTAAATCTGAGTCCCCATTGTGTGCGGCCCATCGAAGGCCGCCCGCTGGGAGTACGAGGCGAGATAGTAGCTGTGCGAAATAACAAGTGTGAGTGTGTGAGAGCGAGTGTGTGAGTGCGAGTACACATTTAATATATACAATTGCCCCCACGCCAGCCCCCTCAGTCCCACATCCCCTTTGACCAACTAAACCGCCCCGTGGCCGCTTTGTGTTGGCGGAAACGATGTTTTTCCTATGCAAATTCAGCCGGTGCCCCTTTTCGCATTTACCAAGTGTCTTTTGCTGTGTTGTTTATTTGTTTTCGCCGAGGCCAAGCCAGGGGTCAACTACGCATTTGATTGCAGTTGCTTTTGCTATTTGTTATTGAGTATTTCCCCCTTCGATGCGCCTGCTATCGTCACACACACAATGTGTGTATGTGTGTGTGTATGCGTGTGTGTGGGAGGTCAGGAATTTAAAATTTGTACACTTCTAATCAAGCATATCTATACATACATGGTATATATGTGACCAGAAGCAGTTGGTTACAACTGTGAGTAATATCTGAATGGTATTAAAATAATATTTATGTTAATATATATATTTTTTTTTAAATTTGGCTTATTATCTTTTGAA